TGTACAGTATGTGGAAAATAATGTGTTTTTTTAACCTTAAACCGCATAAACACATTTCATTACACCAAATACACAAAATAATGTTCTTTTTAGCAACATCATATGACCCCTTTAACATCTTGTTCCTCAGAAAATCTAGCTCACTAATTTGGAAAGAGTTTCAGAGCTATTTGTACTTACCAATGATCAAACTGCCAAATGTGAGACACGCAGCGCTGCATGCTGCTGCAATTAAAATATAGTAATCCGTACTGAGTGCACACTGTGCAGTGTTCAGTATTTAGTGAGCTTATATTCCATATAGACACAAACTGAATAACTAACTCAAAACCCCCGGATGCATAACGTCAGTCTGTATTTCTGCAATATATTCATCAGTAGCACGTGATCAAGCGTGTTTCATGAGCATGTTGGATATTCTGGGCTTTTAGAAGGTGTATGAGGTGAGCCGTCTTTCTGTCTACACCAGCACACACTCAATCAACACAAGCCGTCTCACTAAAAGCCCCAATGGAAAAACGATTTTCACCATAAAATTCACCATCTCTGAAACTTTTAGCACACTTCCAAATAACACTTCATACGAACCAGTCAAGACAAGTATGTATTGAGGGAATGACAGCATGAAGGATTTGGAAAAATAAACAGAATACAACACTGTTCTCTTTGTTTAGATTTGCACTGGAGAGTCCTATAGTGTGCTGTGATTGAGAGCGCCGTCCTCGCTAACGCTCTCTCCGCTGCCACCGTTAACACATTTCATATTAATACTTTGCGCCATTATCACAGATTATGTGTCGCTCTAATTGATCGATCACCCCATTGTTGTGGACAGCAGTTCTGCAAAGGTCCAGGGAGGAATGGGGTGTAACACGCTAAAGAAATGATGTGAACTGTACCTGTGTGTGCTGTGCATTTACATGCTTCCTGGAGTATCATATTGCTAGCATAACAACATACTAACGTCTTACTGGAATCTATTGTAAGTCGAATCTCTCAAGTGCATAATGTGAGTAGTGCTATACTTCTGCCTCTGTACATCATCAAATCAACCATTCATGAGGTTAATTTAGTCCGACAAGGAAAAGCGCAATGGAAGCTTTTTTGAAACATGAAAGCGGAGTCATTTTTCCACTGTTTCTAAGTATAAAAGTCACTGAAATTTCATCCTACATCAGTGCTTCAAAACTGACAGTAAGCAAACCTTTTCCAGACATCAAATGACGTTTAAATTGTTTCTAAAGAAATGTCTTGAAAGATTTCAGATAAGTGATCCACAAATACAGTAATGCTATCATATAGATTCTACAGTACAATGCATAAGAACACAAGTCAACGATTTACAATTGGATTTTGCTGAAGTGAAGTATTTTTAACAACAAGACTTAAAATAATGTATATGAACAAACGAATTTGAATGCCTGCCCGTGTTTTCATAGTTGTTTCTGCAATATTTCATTATGCATTTAGCTACATTACTGTAGTACTTTTAGCTCCATTTAAAGGAGACATATTATGCCCCTTTTTACAATATGTAATATAAGTCTCTGGTGTCCCCAGAATGTGTCTGTGAAGTTTCAGCTCAAAATACCCCACAGATCATTTATTATATAATTTTGAAAATGCCTATTTTGAGTGGAAGCAGAAACACGCTGTTTTTCGGGCCTGTCTCTTTAAATGCAAATGAGCTGCTGCTCCCCGCCCCCTTTTCCAGAATAGAGCTGCGCCATTACAGCTCATCTGCTAAAAACATCTGTTTTGGTTGTGATTATCATGTTTATCGCACTGAAGTCATGTGTTTTAAACCATATGAGTTTAAACTTCTGATATACGGTTTTCTGAGCACACGCACAGAAAGCGGCTGTCACAGCATGTGAGTACTAAACTAAGTTCTCATTCACACAAAGGTTTACGTTAAAAACACACGAGTTACAAAAACAGTCGGTTATGTCTGTGAAGGTAAACAGCTGGGAAATAAATTGCTTGTTTATTTTAGATCTGTGTGGCAGCAACAATATACATTAAATAAATCAATAAATCCACT